ATGAAAACGCCTTAGATGTGTTCAGCTCGACGATACGGATCGACTGATATGCAACATGACCCTTTCCGGTCAGGTCATGACCTTGACCTGAGGTCAAATTTTCAAGTTGACCTTTCAAGGTCAAGTCATAGTTCATTCGATGCGTCTTGACGAGAGGAACACGATGCCGGTAAAAGTAAGCTCGTACAAGGCTTGGGTCAAAAGTTATTGCAGAAAAACTGTTTTCGAAAAAATCGGCTATTTTTGCAGTTTTTGCCCCCTGCAGGCAAAACCGTTGTCGTTAGGTCAAATCTGAGAGAATTACTCAGAAAGGGCGTTAATAGGGCTATCGAATGCGCTTTTCCGCGGCGCTGTAGCTCTATTGGTTCCCGAGTTATGCGTTGGCTTCTTGGAAATTTTCGACATTCGACCTGGAAATCGGCGAAATTTTGCCTTCAATGACCTCTGGTGACCTGACCTTTGACCTGACCAAAAAATTGAGCGAAGTGATTTCGTCATTATTTTTGACGCTCTTTCGAACGCCGCCTTCCGCGTATCGCTACGTGGCCCAGGAGCCGAGTTACAAGGGGGGGTGTTCAAACACCCCCCCCCCCAGCAGGGCGTGGAAATCCAGGACCCCCAGCAGGGCGCGGGTTAACACGCGCAGTGGAAGGGTTGCGAGTACTACGCCCAGTGGAAGGGGGGGGCGGATGTCGCCCCCCCCTAAGATCTCAGCTCCCACTGGAGCTAGAAAGACGAAATTTGGAGGGTAGGTGGGGGCCATGGGGAACTCTGTTGTGTGTGAATTTCATGGCCCTAGGTCAATATCTTCAAGGTCAAATGAGGTCAAATGTGGTCAAATCTGTCATATTTGCGACTTTTTTGCGTTTACACGCCGATAACTCGAAAAATTACCGGCCGATTTTCTTTAATCTTTCACTATACGAAAGAACAAACAGTTGTGAGTACGTATGGTGAATTTCTAGATAATCCAACAATAAATATGGCATTTAGAAGCCTGCTAAGGGTAAGATGTCGCCGGCTGAAATGGGATCGGCCGATGCGGGAAACGCGGCAATCACAATTTTGTGTTTACACACTCATAACTCAAGTTGTTACCGGCCGATTTTCAAAATTCTTTGACCATATGATTGCCTGTACATTTCCCAGTCTTCTCACCGAATTTGACGCGAATCTAATGTAATCAGCGGTAAGGAGCGCGATGTAAAGACGGAACCGTCCCGCCCCGGCACAGTCTACAATTCAGGCGGCGCGTAACGGCTAGCGCCGGCCGCCGCGCCGCCGCGCCGCCGCGGCGGCAGGATGTTTGACTTTACACCGCTATTACTAGAAAAGTTGTGAACCGATTTTCTTACTTCTTGCACGAGAAGATCCGCAATTCAATTCTGAACAGGTAGCCGAAATTTCACATTGATAATATGCTTGCGGCGCGAGTTATTGGCGAAAAACAGGAGGGGTGGGCGAAATCTGCCCCCCTTCCACTGCGCGTGTTAAAACGGGCAGCGGTCGCTAAATTCCAGTCGGTACGGTCTCTGAAAGAGCACAGCGCAAACACTGTGGCACCGGTGACACTAAGAGTAAGGCCATACTATATGCATACGGACGGGCGTTTTTGCGGCGTTTTTTGCGTTTTTTTTTCTGCGGTTTTCGGCGGGCGGGCGATTGCTTCTTTTTTTGCGAAGGTTGTGTTTGCGTTTTGGGCGTGCGTTTTGTGCGTTTTGCGGTGTTTGCGTTTTGCGGCGGGCGGGCGGTTTTTCACAATTGAAGTCCCAACCTTCGGATCCGCAGTGCTGTTCGACAAGCGCTGCCCGGGCCTACTGTGGCACTTGGTTGAGATACCAATAGGTACTTTTTATCAGAACTATTCGTCTATCTGATTTGGAGTCTGGGTGAACCCAGCGTGGACATTTAGGTGATCATCCCAGCTAAATATTAATTCTGAGTTAAGATAGCCAAATTGTTATCCCTGGCTCACAATCACCGGTTTTGGCACTCGCAATATCGAGAAATGCCAAAAATCGAAAATATTTAATTTCAAAGTTGCAGCACAAAAGTTGGCGAGGCAGTGCCCCCGGCCATAGAGTTGTGGGGGCAAGCTGCTCCCACTGCCGCCCCCCTCGCCTCCCGGTTCCCGCGCCTATGATGATAACGATTAACGAACGCTGCTTTGGTCCGTCACAAAGTTTTTACATGCCGTATATGTCATATGGTTAAGAAATTAACGGGTACGGATCACGGAATAATACTAGGGAAGATTCAATCACTCCATAATGATTGATGTACTAGCTGCGTCGGCTATCCTGAAGGATTAAGCGACACTAGCAATTTCCTTACGGAATACTGAGCGATCCTTAAGGATACCAAACATCGCCCTAAAATCCTTACGGATCGGCGAATGCATCCTTAAGGATTCAAGAGGGTCCGTAGAATCCTTAAGGATTTCATATCTGATCCATATGGGTCCTTATGGATCCTTAAGGATTGTGGGGATTCTGGCGAAATCCTTAAGGACTTTTTCACTAGGGAACTTTTCTTTGGAATAAAAAAGCTCTCTGATCACAATGAATATTAAAGCAATAATTAACAAAACACGATTAATTTTGCTCTGTGGCAACAGCTTTGAGTACCTTCTTGCATGGTCCCAGTTAAAAATATCAAGCTCCACATCGGGAGAATCATCAGGTCGCTTGGCGTAGGACAAGAGCGTTGGTTTCAGAAGACACTAACGCCTAGGTGTATGGGATCGAATCCTCGCGACCTCTAATAGTTTTACAGATACAGGCCGGCATAGGGCCAGTCGTTTATTGACGCTTCAGATTGATCATTTTAAATCCAGCAGCGTCGCTGACGTGGGGGTTGGAAATGTCGCGGGCCTGCACTTCTCAAAATAGAGGTAGGTATGGACTTCCCACTGCTGGACTCCTCTGGTCATAATGCTGGACTCCTCGGTCCACCTACACGCTACCAAAACGTATATAATTAGGTACTCGTATCTACATCACACTGCTCAGTCATTTTGTAAAATGGCTAGGTATTTTGTAAAATGCCTAGGCATTTTGTAAAATGACTGGAGAGTCAGTCATTTTGTAAAATGCCTAGGCTTTTTGCAAAAAGCCTGGAAAATCAGGCATTTTGCAAAATGCCTAGGCATTTTACAAAATGACTGATTTTCTAAAGTGCCTGCAACATATATAGCTGAATGAAATGTGTAATAAAAGGGTTACTTGATATCAAATAAAATGGTCATGATAAGGGTAACTTGAGAATAAATTTTCAGTGACGGGCGAGCGTATTTAGTATTTCTTTTAGCTACAGGTATCGCTAACTAAATTTATGTGGCTCACATCAGCGAACCCTAACTTTGAGTGAAATCCCGTGATCCAAAGTTAGAGTAATCACACCGACGATGCCATTGTAACCCAATTTTAAGAGATTGTACCCATCCTATACCAAAAAGGTGCAGTGACCTATGTGTGACCCGTGGACTGACCCACCTCTGGAGAGAACTGACAGGAGAACGGCAACCGTCCACGAGCCGTTTTCCGCGACGGAAAACCCGTTACAGAACAGGCAGTCATGTGCTGCCGAACCCGATGTACATACTACAGATACGGCTGAGCTCGCCTCTATGGAGATATTGAATGTTTTCAAATGAAATTAGGACCGAAGACGGCAAGAAAGATAAATAGAACGCATGATATTGAAAGGAAGGTAACGGCACAGACTGAAGATGATCGGGGTTGTTATTGAAGTATGTAATATGAAGAACAGTAAGGTGAAAAGAAGGACGGCACACAGCGGAGGTTGACGGCGGGAAGAGAAGAAATTGACTGGAGGAGACCGATTAAAACGATGCCACTAATACTGAATTTCAGTACAGACATGAAATCACAGAAATGAATCAACAGCTGGGAAGAGAATATGCAAATGATTTGAGAATAATGACATCACGAATCAAGTTGGGAGAGTAAACACGCGATAGAAGAACAAGAAGGACAGCACACAACCGAGTGACGGCAAGAAAGAAGACATTGAAGTAGTATACCGATGGAAACGACGTTGATACTACATGGCAATGGAAACATGCAATCACAGAAAGGAAACGACAGCTGAGAAGAGCAAAATGCAAATGATTGAAGAACTATAACATCACGAAGCCAGTTGGAAGAGCAGACGTGCAGCGGAGAGAAGAAGAGATGCCGACAGAAGAACAGAAAAAAGCTAGTCATCAACAGCGACTGGCTGATGCTGATAGCCAGTGCCCGAGGGAACTCAAAATGAAGACAACGCCTGAAACAAATAACAACAGAGACCGGAAGCAGGAGGAGAAACTGATAACCAATTTATGTCAACAAAATCAGGCAGCAACTGGGGTGGTGGTGACGACTACTACAACTATAGAGCGTCATTAGATAAGACAATTTGGACAGATCTGAATGCTGCCTGTTTCGAGCGAAATAGACAACCGTAATGGACCGGATCAGCCTGCGAGCCCATTTCGGGGCCGCCCGCTGCACTGGGAGGTCGTTACCTGACATTACATCAAATGCAGGCGGTCCCCACTTCCCACACTTCAAGATCGACCCACGAGACCTGCACGGGGCCAGTACATAGTCACGGCCAAACAACCATGAGCAGACTGCAGGGACAACAGCTGCTTCATCGACTGCATCCGCTCCAGCGTCGACAGTCAAGCTGGGTTACTACTTCCGTGACAACCAGACCAACTGGGAGGCCGGCGAAGGCCAGAGCTGTGGCCCACCTACAACAGCCGCAAAATCGTCGGAAAGGCTACAGTGTAGCCAGTAGCCGAGTCTGCCACTGGATGTGACAGCCGTTCCATCACCGGCAGTCCGCACCAGAACGCAACCTCGGCGGCCGCCAGATCAGTGGTGACAACTAAAAACACGATGGAGCCACGTTCCAGCCACAGGCGACCAGTTCTGGACCCGATCGCAGCAAAGCCGGACAGTTCACCAGGGCGGCCGCAATCGGCAGCAATGACGAACTACGACAACAACTACGAGACTGGGGAAATCCGGAACTGGGACACGACTACAGCAGCAGCCGGCCGGTTCGAGACCAAATCGCGGACGACCGCCAGTCCGTCATCGCGGCCATCCCGGACCGGAGCTGTCGTGGCTCATGGAGCCACCATCAGGTGCCGGGCTCACTTCTTTGGCATACCACAATCTGCACCGGTATGTTATCGCTAATTTGATCTGAATTATAGTAACCAAATGTACCAATGTTATTTTGTATTGTCATGTGTTAATTATTTCAATGGTTTCATTCAATTTCCATTGTTTTGCGCGCAAATTATTTGATGTGTAGTTAGTGGTGTTTTACGGGATAGTACGTGAATGTTTTAATTCTGGAAATGTAAGGATGGCCTGAAATACTGTGCAATGACACAAAAACCCGCACTCCTTATGTCCCAATCATCCAAGCTCGTAATTCACCATCCTCCCCAACCGAACACTCCTGTTGAAATAGCTACCAATCCATTAGAAGACGGCCACCCGCTCTCGTCAAAGAAGTCACCAAGAAACACGACGAAACGGCACCAAATAGCACGGCAGAAGCGGGCTCTCAAACGTTTAGTCGCGGGGCGCGACTATAAAAAGAGGTCTGAAAATGTAACGCAGATGCGTTACATTTTTTCATCTTTCATGCTGAACTGCAAGCTGTGCCACAAGCTGAAACACGGCCACCTGCGAGCGCCGCACAGACACGGTCAGCCGGCTAAATCGGCTGTGATACCCTCTCTCCGTCCCAGCTGGCGTCCACACAGACGGCGCAGTCGGCTCTGACAAACAGGGGTCCTCTATAGATGACCACCCCACTTCATGAGAACCCGGATCTGAAGCCAACAAATAGCATAACGAAACGCACTATCCTGCCGGTGTCGAGCCATTAATCAGTTTAGCCGTTGGAAAACAAGACTCTGTCCCACGCTCGGCACCCCGCCAGAAGAGAAGAACAAGGAGAGGGGAGTGCAGACCGGCCCTGATTTGAACCAAAACAAGAAAGGGGAGCGGGGACCGACCCGGTTTGTACGAAAACAGGATGAAATGGAACTCGGTCACCGCCATGGAAGAAGGACACCTGGCCGGAGACATTCAAAACAGGGGGGAGCGCAGGACTAAAAACAAGAAAGGAGGGCGCAGAGCCGGCCGCCACCTGGCGCCTCAGGCGGCGCAAATCGCCGGCGGCGAGTTCCATCCGATCGCTGCGTGAAAGGGTGCGACTGCCATGGCCGGGGGTGCCGAACTTCAGCAAATCACGAACGTTTGAAGGCGGAGCCAAGCGCACTTTCTGAGAATGGAGGACGAAGATTGGACAAGGAGATGCTGCCCGGCCCTCCGAAGTATGACGTCATCAGAAGTATAAGTTGATGAAACGGAACTGGAACGCTCTCTCTGGTACTCCCTCGGACGACGCATTCGACGCCGCTCTTCGCTCTCGGCTCACATCTGACATCGTGGACAGCCCACGAGACACCAGCGGCTGGCATCACGGCGCCGGCGGCGGCTCCGGCCGCCTGGCCGAGCGCTGGACGGACACGGCCATCATGTCAGCGACTCCATCTCAAGTAAGGTCATGGTGATCACGGGCACGCACCTAGTCCCTAAATCCTTCAAATAATCACCCCCCCCCCCTTTCGTCACTGCTATGTGAGCCACATTATGTTTCCTTTTTTTTGGTGTCATTGCGCAATAAATTAGGCCATTCAGTTAAGGTAGTTCAATTTATTTTGAGGACAGTCATTCAGTCTAGGTAGCTTGATTTAACAATCCGATTTCGGCCAATTATTTAACTATGGGCGTGGTACGAGACGCGTGCCGACGTGGAGTGAACCCTCGTCTGGTGCTCCGTGGTGATTAAGACGGACGGAGGGGATTATGTACCATGGTGAGTCGGAAAGGGGCTAGGCGACTTTGTACCGCACCGCGCTGCGTGTGAAACTCACTTGCCGGACGACCTGGTCATTGGTCACGGAACGTTCTTTTCTAAGTTTGACATGTACAGGATTTTAAGGCATTGCGTCAGGAAAATGTCAATAAATGGGACTTGTACATATTGTAATACGAGTGTAAGGAGTGGTGAAAGGAAAGGACCGGAGAGTAAAATGTCACAGACCATATGCCATCTACACAGCCGGAGAGGAAGTCGTTGCGGGAGAGGAAGTGGTTTCGAGGTATCCAATTCGCCATAGTATTTGGTAACAGAATAGTTCTTCTTCTCGTCTGCCTGGTTCTCAAGGGACATCCAAATCCGATAGGGCCCAGGTAGTTTATCGAGCCCGTGGGGCCCGATCCCGCTCAAGGTGGGTGGAGCCGGCCGGCGCGGCCGGCAGTGATTGGCTCAGTGGTTTGGTAGTACAGCGTACGGGACGACCAGAACTATACACGTTTCGGAGACCACGGGAGTGGCCAGGCTGGCCTCAAACATCTGAACCGGTTCCATCCCTTGTTGTCGTCTGGTCAGTGCTGGCCGGTTATTTCCTGCCTTAAGAAAACGCAGCGCCCGCACAGGAGCTGTTTGTCCTCCTGCCTAACAAACGTGGCGCCCGCACAGGCGCTGCTTATCCTCCTGTCCTAAGACCAACGCAGCGCCCGCACAGGAGCTGTTTATCCTCCTGCCTAACAAACGTGGCGCCCGCACAGGCGCTGCTTATCCTTCTGTCCTAAGACCAACGCAGCGCCCGCACAGGAGCTGTTTATCCTCCTGCCTAACAAACGTGGCGCCCGCACAGGCGCTGCTTATCCTTCTGTCCTAAGACCAACGCAGCGCCCGCACAGGAGCTGTTTATCCTCCTGCCTAACAAACGTGGCGCCCGCACAGGCGCTGCTTATCCTCCTGTCCTAAGACCAACGCAGCGCCCGCACAGGAGCTGTTTATCCTCCTGCCTAACAAACGTGGCGCCCGCACAGGCGCTGCTTATCCTCCTGTCCTAAGACCAACGCAGCGCCCGCACAGGAGCTGTTTACCCTCCTGCCTAGCAAACGTGGCGCCCGCACAGGCGCTGCTTATCCTCCTGTCCCAAGACCAACGCAGCGCCCGCACAGGAGCTGTTTATCCTCCTGCCTAACAAACGTGGCGCCCGCACAGGCGCTGCTTATCCTCCTGTCCTAAGACCAACGCAGCGCCCGCACAGGAGCTGTTTATCCTCCTGCCTAACAAACATGGCGCCCGCACAGGCGCTGCTTATCCTCCTGTCCTAAGACCAACGCAGCGCCCGCACGGGCGCTGCTTATTGTCGTCTGGTCAGCACTGGCCGGGCCATACGTTCCCATTTTCCAACCCAGAACGGCCTCAACTAAGGGATTTCCGCTCAGCCTGGTCCGCACTGGTCGGTGGCTCAACTTTGAAAAAAGGGGTGACGGTGGAGGACGAGAACGAGAAAGATGAGTTGTTAGTTCCAGCTAGAGTCTCAGTAAATCATCCCCACTAAAGTCAGCCCACACCTAAGATGAATAAGGAACTCAGGGGGGATAGATGATGCACGTCACGCCCCTGTGCGTGGAAAGTCCACCGACGCGGCTACGGGTTAGGAGGGAGATGAGACGCGAGTGAAAGGGAGGAGGACTGTACAAATAGATAAATCGGGTTTCCCGAATGACGCTTAACTCGGACAGACCCCACTAGATATTAGGCCTCGATTGAGTAAGCCCTGGATGCGTGCAATAAGTCGCGAAATTAAACGTGAGGATGAAGGCGAGTCGGGCACAGACCGCCGAGGAGGGTTTCAAGAAATGTTACCCGGTCAGCCTCGTGTCCTGGCTCGGAGGGGACGACGGGCCTGTCTAACGGTCTGTCTAACCTCTGGCTAGCGGGACACGGGACCAGTGGCCCGATTGTTCCGGCCCAGGGTAGGCCTGGGTGATAATTAACCCGCGCCCTGCTGGGGGTCCTTGATTTCCACGCCCTGCTGTGGGGGGGGTTTGAACACCCCCCCTTGTAACTCGGCTCCTGGGCCACGTAGCGATACGCGGAAGGCGGCGTTCGAAAGAGCGTAAAAAATAATGACGAAATCACTTCGGTCAATTTTTTGGTCAGGTCAAAGGTCAGGTCACCAGAGGTCATTGAAGGCAAAATTTCGCCGATTTCCAGGTCGAATGTCGAAAATTTCCAAGAAGCCATCGCATAACTCGGGAACCAATAGAGCTACAGCGCCGCGGAAAAGCGCATTCGATAGCCCTATTAACGCCCTTTCTGAGTAATTCTCTCAGATTTGACCTAACGTCAACGGTTTTGCCTGCAGGGGGCAAAAACTGCAAAAATAGCCGATTTTTTTGAAAACAGTTTTTCTGCAATAACTTTTGACCCAAGCCTTGTACGAGCTTACTTTTACCGGCATCGTGTTCCTCTCGTCAAGACGCATCGAATGAACTATAACTTGACCTTGAAAGGTCAACTTGAAAATTTGACCTCAGGTCAAGGTCATGACCTGACCGGAAAGGGTCATGTTGCATATCAGTCGATCCGTATCGTCGAGCTGAACACATCTAAGGCGTTTTCATCGCTCTAGCATGCCTCTATCAAAAGTTATTTGCGAAAAACTGTTAGATACCATTCGTGACCTAAAATGACCTCAGGGCATAAACAAGGGTCACGGACACTATTTTTAAGTTCAGTGTGTCTAAACCACTTGTAATTCGGTGTTTGGGAGTGTTTATAATGTCTTTCATCCAAAAGAGGCGCATTTCAATTTTCTCCCATTGACTTATAATGGGGAGGTCGCAAAATTGACCTGACCTTAGGTCATCGATATCAAAATTCTGAGATATACGTTTTGTGCATGCTATTGCTCTTAGCAATCGCTGAAAGTTTCAAAGCGATCGGTCACTCGGTGTAGCTATGACAGACATTGAAAGTTTTTATGAGGTGAGGTCACTTCAAGTGACCTGGTGACCTGACCTTGAATGACCTTGGTCTGAAATTTTCACAACATGTGTAGAATTGATGTATGATAAGGTGTACCAAAAACGGCGGCGCTCCGCGCCGCCGTTTTTGAGATATTTGCGAAAAACCACAAGGGGGGGGTGTTCAAACACCCCCCCCAGCAGGGCGCGGGTTAAGGTCACGTGGGCCGTCGCCTGGGATGTGTATCGGCGGGTGGGCCGCCGCGAGATGACGGTGTTCCGTCTCGGATTAACAGCCTCGGAGGCTGGGCAGATTTTAGGCTGCCGGGCTGGCCCGGAAGCCCTGAACTATGACTGGAGCGAGATGCGGTCATCACTATCACGGATGGACCTTAGTTACCCAGCCCGGTTTCAAAAAGATAGGTAGGCCCGCTATCGGTCCCTCAAGTGGTCGGCGCGGGACGTCATTTGAAGAGCGACATAGATAGTTTCGGAGGTGGTTAGGACCCCGGGCGTCTTAGCGAGGGAATCGTATGCCGCCGGAAGAGTAATGCCCCGCGAAGGAACGTATAATGCCGCAAGACGGGGGTGAACATTAGATACCGAGCATTCGAGTCGGGTGATCGCAGTCAGACGGTGCTGGCCACCCGCAGTCAGTCGAGTAGCTCCGGCCATGCTCTGGTCCTTTCGAATAGGTCTGTGACGACAGCTTAACTACCAGCCACGGATAGATAGGGCTTTGGACACCTATGTGCTGGTAGTCGACGATGTGTGTTGAGTGCAGGATGTCCCCGAGTGGACCTGCGTGCGTGGAAGACGCGTGTCGTCTTTGTAGTTGGCCGACGAGAGCTAACCCTTTTTAGGTCGCCGGGTTGGCCCGGAAACCCTGAACTATGGCTGGTGCGAGATGCGGTCATTAGTATCACGGACGGACTTTAGTTACCCAACCCGGCTTTCAAATTTTAGATACGTCCGCCGCGGAAAGCCCGGGCTACTGAGTGCCCTGCGAGCTCTAGCTCTTGAAGTTCAAGGAGCCCTCTCCAAGTCGAGGATGTTCCGCGCCGGGCTGCCCTAGGGCAGTGTTCTGTCGCCCTACTTGTTCCTGTTGTGGGCGGCAGACCTGGCCGAGGCCCTCCGAGCGCCGGGCACCTCCCCCTACATATACGCCGACGACACGGCAGTTCTATGCTCGGGCAACACCATTGAGGTGGCGAGAGGTCGAGCGCAGACAGCGGCAGACGCCCTCGTCGCGTGGGCTCACCACAACAAGATGCTGGTCGCCGGGGAGAAAACCCAACTACTGGTGCTCTCCCAGAACGCCCGAGACGCCGTCCGAGGCACCATCAAGGTGGCAGGAAAGACGGTGCAGGCGAAAGACACCCTAGTCCTCCTCGGCATAGAGCTCGACCGCCGCCTCCAGTTCGGTGCCCACTGTCGCCGTCTCCGGAAACGAGTTCGCCCCCGGCTGGCTCACCTGCGCCGCCTCGGCGGACGCAGCTGGGGCCTGGACGAGGTTGCCCTGAGGACGGTGGCCAACGGCTACGTCCGCGGGGCGCTCGAGCACGCCGCCGCCGCGTGGCTGCCGGCGGCCGCCCCCTCGCACGTGGAGCACCTGGAGCGGGAACTGCGGGGGGCGGCCCGCATCATCACCGGGTGCCCACGATCAACACCGACCCACGCGCTGATGGCGGAGGCTCGACTAGCCCCGATGGAGGAGAGGGGATGGACGTTGGCCGCCAGGCTGCTGGGAAGGGCGCTCGCCCTGCCGCCGGGGGACCCCCTGCTCGCGACCGCCGAGGCCTCGGCGCCGGCGCGCCTGGCCTCAGTTCGGGGGTGGAGAGAGCGGGGCCGCCTGGCCTGGGAGAAGGCCGGAGTCGCGCTGCCGGTGGAGCCGGTGCTCCCCCCTCGGATACCGCCGTGGCGGCGGACATCAGGCGTCACCTTCCGGATGGACGTGGGCCCCCTCCGGGCCGGCGCCGCGGCGGCGGAAAGAGAGCGCGCGGCCGCCCTGCACCTCGCGTCCCTGCCGCAGTGCGCCGTCTGGCTGTGGACGGACGGGTCCGCGGCGGGCGGAGTCTCGAGGGGCGGAGCTGGGGCCGTGCTGGTCTGGCCGGATGAAGAGACCGAGGAGCTGCGGGTCCCGGCCGGACAGCTATGTTCCAGTTACCGCGCAGAGATGGTAGCGCTGGTGACCGGCCTGGAGACCCTAACCCAAAGAGACAGAGACCAGGACCTGCCTATCGTGGTCTGCACGGATAGCCTCTCAGCAGTGGCGACCCTGCGCAACGGCCCGGCCGCCCAGACCTCCCCGCTGGGGGTAGCGGCTTGGAGAGCCATGTTCGCCCTCTCGGATAATGGCCGGAAGATCCACGTCCAGTGGGTCCCCTCGCACTGCGGTGTGGAGGGTAATGAGCGAGCCGACAGAGTGGCCCGAGAGGCCGCGGAACTACCACAAGACAGCGTGCGTGCAGACATCAGGACAATCACCCGAGCGGTGGCTAGGGCCGCCCGCGACGACACGGTCCGGGCCTGGCCCCCCGGCTGGTTCCGGTCGCTGATGGGGGGCCGATTCCCCCCACCGGTGGCGGGGCTGGACCGGGAGCGCGCGGTGGACGTCCACCAGCTGCGAGCCGGGCACTGGTCGGGCTCCAGGGCCTACCTGCACAGGATCGGGGCCGTTCCCTCTGTGGGATGTGAGGGCTGCCGCGACGAGGGCTGTGTGGCGGCCCGCTGCCCCCTGTGCAATGAGGAGCCTGACACGCCGGCACACGTGCTGCTGAGATGTCCGGCGCTGATGCGACTGAGACATTCAACCCTGGGTCACATCCATCCCAGGCTGGAGGAGGTCCGGGAGACCTCAGTGGTGGCGGCCCTGGCGGCCGCCGCCAGACGCTTCCAGAGCCGCCTGGCTATGCTCCCGTGAGGAGCAGAGGGAGAAACAACAACAACAACAACAGCTCTAGCTCCGGAACCGTGGGCTGGAGTGTGTTAGAGATGCTGACTGACCACTGGCAGCAGAAGGTAGGTCCACACGTGAGTGGCAGTAAGACAAGGGCTGCGTACGTTGTTGCAAAGGTTTACCGGCCCATGCTGTAAGTCCATTGTTAGCTCAACAACCTGCGTGCGTGTGTGTTTATTATTTGTGTGCAAGTAGTTCGGCATGGTCTTGGACCCGCTATAAGTCGCGTAATTCAAGGGCGGAGTGCCGAAATCTGTGGTGGTTCGTATATTCTATTCGTGTAGCGTGAGCCTTATGAAGCGTTTGTCTGATGTACGGAGCATTGTGGTTATGAAGGGATAACGGTTAATGAAATTTAAGGCCAATGACTCAATAACGACTTGCGCACGCCTTAGCACCACCGGGGGAAGTTAGGCAAAGAGGGAGGGATCGGAGACGGCTAACTCTGATAATTATGAGGTATAACTGGACGTATGACAGAAGTGAGAAGGGATGCACGAGTGGAAGTATGATTGTCGTGTATATCCGGTGGGAGATAGCCCTCAGCTAGGACGGGTGCCGTTGTTAAGAGTGGGAGAGCAGTTGAGTGGAGTTAATTTCTTAATTCAATGTGATCAGGGACAATTGGTTATCACTTATCACTCATCCCATCCCTCAACCCTAGCCTATGTGTTTCCGATGATTGATCGCCCCGGAAAGATAGAGTCAGAGTCGGGACGGGTTCGTGAAGGGCTGTACAGTGAAGGGCTTTTAGGAGCGCACCGACGGAGCACTCCTGCTCTCTATCTCTACCAGAAGACACTGCCCGGTTAGCCCCGCAACGCCGCGAAACCCCGCTACACTTCCAGCCCTTGGATTATTCCTCACTTGAATGAAAATTTTGCTATAATAACTATTCCAAGCAGTTGACAGGTTTTAGTGCCATGCAAAGTCGGAACCGTCCCGCGCCGGCAGGCTCCCAGTCGGCGCGTCGGTCGCCGCGCCGCCGCTCTTGCAGGGTGTTTGACTTCATACCCCTGTTGTTAGAAAAGTTGTGGACCGATTTACTTGATTCTTGCATGAAAAGATCCGCCATTCAATTCTTAGCAAGTACCGAAAATTTGACGTCAATTGCACGATCCGCCGCCCATATTGCGGTGCTGCCATCTATTGACAAGGCTGGAGAACTAAAGCCGCTTGGCTATTTCCACTTTTGACACACCATGCCGCGCCCCGTAGGGGGGGGGGGCCGAAACGGCCCCCCCTGTCCTTTTCCGTCGATATCTCCTAAACGGCTAAAGATATCGCCGCCAAAATTTCAGGACCCCTCCGAGCATCAATTGTACACATTGTGACTAAAAATTTTCCAGAGGCTTTGATAGGTTGGCTACAAATGACGTTAGAATGACGTCATGTTCTGCCATTTTCGACCGAAAAAAGACCTTCGCGAGAAGAGCTGTCAGGCCTACAGCTTCGAAGATACAGAAAAATTATTAAGGCATAAAAGGTGAAGAATTGACAGGGCTACAAAACTGCTATCTCGGATTTTTGAAATTTTTGAATTCTGACCCCCAAAAATAAAAAAAGCAATTTTTTTTGGATATTTTAGCCAAAAACTCAAAATTTTTTTTTTGAGTTTCAAAAAAAACGGAATATGTGATAGTACCTACCGTCTTCTATCTACATACCAAATTTCAGATCGATATCTCGTTTTTTGGCCAAGTTATAGCGAAAAACTTCAAAAATGATGACTTCAAATTTTCAAACTCAATTTTTGGCAATTCTAGACCTCGTAGAGCAAAACAAAGACCACCATTTGACTCCCAGGGGCGAGCTGCATCGAATCGATACCCATTTTATGCAAAAATATCAACTTTGAAATTTGACCTAATTTGACCTGACCTTGACCTGACCTTCACCAAAACGTGACCTAAGCTGGCCTCAAAGGCTTCCTGACCCGCATAATCGCATTTGTCATGTAAAATGGACCATAAAACATGTATCACACGACACTTTCATATTGTGACCCAAAGTGACCTGACCTCTTTGACCTGACCTGTGACCTGACCTGGTATCAGTGACCTCATATAGCGAAGTATGTGTTTGACGAACAATGTACCATCGATGGTTTTCAATAAGATACCAATTTACTCGATTTCACAAAACATTTCTTGAAATCTCATCTCATCTCATCTCATATATTTAACACATTCATTCGAAACAGACAATCAGTGTCGCCTCGATTGGCGCAAAAGTGCCGGAGCACTTAACTCGGGGCGCCTCTCGAGTCCGCACAATCACACTGGGTGCCGCCCACAGCCTCGCAGCCGCTGCCCGCCACCGCGCAGACCGCTCTCAATAGATGTAAAGGCGCCGGCGCCGAGGGCAGCGCTCTGTGACGACCGGTGTCAAAGGACTGGGCGCAAGGGATAGGTGGCAGGATGGGAAGGAGAGGCAAAACGTTTGGTGGCATGGATGAATTGGTACACCGCTCGTGCTACCTCGAATTCGTCCCTGGGTAGTACCGTATTACCGTGTAGTATGAAGTCTAGTTGTTCCTTTTGTGATAAATTGTGTATGTCAATGCCTGTTATACCATTTATTATGTTTGTCATTCTCTCTCTTTCTTGTGTGTACTTTGGACATTTTAGTAAGTAATGTCCTGTGTTCTCGTTAGTTCTGCCTTGACAGTGGTTGCAATATGGAGATTCAGTTTTTTGTATTTGAAATAAATGGGATTTTAACTCTGACATCCCAACCCTTAGACGTGTTAGAAGTGTATTTTCCATTTTCGAACCATAAATATAATACTTTGGTGGTTTTTCTATATGTAAGTGAGACTTGAGATGTTTTTTAACCCGCGCCCGGCTGGGGGTCCTGGATTTCCACGCCCTGCTGGGGGGGGGGGGGTGTTTGAACACCCCCACTTCTAACTCGGCTCCTGGGCCACGTAGCGATACGCGGAAGGCGGCGTTCGAAAGAGCGTCAAAAATAATGAGGAAATCACTTCGGTCAATTTTTTGGTCAGGTCAAAGGTCAGGTCACCAGAGGTCATTAAAGGCAAATTTTCGCCGATTTCCAGGTCGAATGTCGAAAATTTCCAAGAAGCCAACGCATAACTCGGGAACCAATAGAGCTACAGCGCCGCAGAAAAGCGCATTCGATAGCCCTATTAACGCCCTTTCTGAGTAATTTTCTCAGATTTGACCTAACGTCAACGGTTTTGCCTGCAGGGGGCAAAAACTGCAAAAATAGCCGATTTTTTCGGAAACAGTTTTTCTGCAATAACTTTTGACCCAAGCATTGTACGAGCTTACTTTTACCGGCATCGTGTTCCTCTTGTCAAGACGCATCGAACGAACTATAATTTGACCTTGAAAGGTCAACTTCAAAATTTGACCTCAGGTCAAGGTCATGACCTGACCGGAAAGGGTCATGCTGCATATCAGTCGATCCGTATCGTCGAGCTGAACACATCTAAGGCGTTTTCATCGCTCTAGCATGCCTCTATCAAAAGTTATTTGCGAAAAACTGTTAGATACCATTCGTGACCTAAGATGACCTCAGGGCATAAACAGGGGTCACAGACACCATTTTCATGTTCAGTGTGTCTAAACCACTTGTAATTCAGTGTTTGGGAGTGTTTATAATGTCTTTCGTCCAAAACAGGCGCATTTCAATTTTCTCCCATTGACTTATAATGGTGAGGTCGCAAAATTGACCTGACCTTAGGTCATCGATATCAAAATTCTGAGATATACATTTTGTACATGCTAATGCTCTTAGCAATCGCTGAAAGTTTCAAAGCGATCGGTCACTCGGTGTAGCTATGACAGACATTGAAACTTTTTATGAGGTGAGGTCACTTCGAGTGACCTGGTGACCTGACCTTGAATGACCTTGGTCTGAAATTTTCACAACATGTGTAGAATTGATGTATGATAAGGTGTACCAAAAACGGCGGCGCTCCGCGCCGCCGTTTTTGAGATATTCGCGAAAAACCACAGGGGGGGGTGTTCAAACACACCCCCCCCCCCAGCAGGGCGCGGGTTAAATGAGAATAAAGTTCTAGTCTCTCTCAAGTTCTGTGGCATTTCATTTATTAGTTTAATTGTACTGGGAAGAAACGAGTTTTTCAGTAGACAGGTTTTGGGATATATTTCCCTTCTGTTATTAGAGTTGCGAAGAAGTCGGTTGTTATTTCTTCGATCAGGGGGCAATAGTTGTTTGATATATGTTGGAGTATCGTCGAGCGTCTGTCGTTGGAAAAATACTATCTTATGCATTTCACGTCTTTTCTTTAATGAAGTCCATCCTAGTTCTCGTCTGAGATTGTCTGTCGGAGTTCTGAATAATGTCGCAGTCACAAGTCTGGCCCCTCTGTTCTGAAGTGTTTCAAGTCGTAAAGTATCGTGTGCTGTTAGCAGTCCGTCGTAAATGATGTCCGCGTAGTCAAAATATGGCAATACATGTGTCGTATATATTTGTTGCAATAAGGTCCTGGGCAAGTAGGAAGCGATACGATAGAGTGGGCTAAGGGCAATGTTGACTTTTCTGATGATGTCGTTGATGTGCTCGTGAAACCTAAGGTCGTTCGATATTGTCAATCCCAGGTGTTTATGATTAGCAACAACTGGGATGGGCATGGCTGCAAATGTTAGTTTTGGTGTGTAACGAAATTCGTTCCTACCCCGTCCTCCACCTCCCTCTGTACCTACTTACTGCCCAGCCCCCTCGCCCACTTACAATATCCTTATATGGTCCTCACTCCTCACCTGCGACGCCTGTCCTTGCCCGCTTCTGATTGGTGCTATGATATGACGTACATCTATATGTATGACGTGTGTGTATGACGTTTGAATATAGCGGCCGACGCCGAACGCCGAGCAGCGATGCCATTCCTTGGGATTTGTCCCAAGATCTTGGGATTTGAACATTAACATTGGGATCTTGTGATTTGCGCTGCATATCTTGGGATCTGGCAG